AGTCTAGTAATCAGGTCATTAGAGGAAGAGCTGAAGGAATTAAACATGATTATTATACAAAGGTGACAATTTTTGCATGTTTGGGAGAGGGGAGGGTTATAGGAAATCAAGAACAAGAATTGATTTCCATTATGCATAAGACTGTTCTATGGAGGACAGATCCATAATCTACACAGCTCCATGAGGCAGAATTAGCAACAATGAGAAGAAGCTATAGGAAGGCAGATTAAAGCTCAATATAAATAGTAACTTCTTAACAATTAAGGTTTTCTACAAGTAGCATGCACTTCCTTGTGAGTTCTCTGCCACTGGAAGTGTTCAGTCATAAACTGAATGGCTACCAATCAGAAGGGTTATAGAGTGCATTGACATCCTATCCATAGCTCTTTGACCTTTCTGTTTTCTCCGTAATATCAGACTGCAAGCCAAGAGCTCCAAGCTCCAAGTGTCCTTCCCTAAATCAAAGTGATAAAGCACAACTGGAGGAGAAATGTCATGGAGGCATATTCTATAACATTTGAGAATCCAAATTTGATTCAAAATTCAGGGACAGGTTAACTCTGTAAATCCTGTTGGTTAAGTGCTCCCTAGGGAACATACAATATTAATTTGCCTCCTGGTTTGGGCGTCTTACTGGATTTGTGCCCAAATCCCTGTTATTAAGTCTCATTGACTTCCTGCCAATAGCATGTCCATACTACCTCTTCCCAAATCTTTATTCCTATTTTAATCAACTCATCTCTCCTTAAGCCCCCTTCAACCTGGACCACCCATTGCCTAGCACATTCTACTGTGTCCTTTGGAATGCCTGTTTTATTGTCAACAAATTCTCCTATATCTGTGAACTTTTACCAACATTCATTCCATATTTTTACTTTAATGTGACTCTTGTCTGAAGACATCACATCCCTTGCAACCCTCTGTAGCAGTGACCAGTTCTCTTCTTCTTAACTCACAGGACCAGGAGGAGTGTCCTGTACACTTCTTGTTCTTTACTCTGGCTCCCAGGCAATTCCTCTACTGCCATCCTTCATGATCTTTCTCACACAAGCTCCACAGGATCTCATTGTACCATATGTTTCCTACTTTTTTTTCGTATTACTGGCCAATTTCTAAATATTCTCCTAGTTTGTTCTGTGACTTATTACCCACCTCATGCTCCTTCTTTTCCATTCCAGCCCCTTCCATGATGGGAGAACCTTGATAGGCGGATGACAGTTCTGAAAACTCAACTACACAACATGAAACCTCTTCTATTGGACCATCTGCAATTAAGATAATTTTGTCTCTTTGCCAAATCTCATTCCTTTCATTTCTTTTTCTTGTCTTCTTGTTCTAAGTTATATTTCTATAAAGCATAGGTATATTTATGATACTAAATTTGTGACCTTTGTCACCCAGCTTTGGACACACACTCCCAAATGACCATTCTTTGGGCCTTTACAAGTTCCTCAAATTGCTCTATCTCCAAGGTCTCAAAGTTTGGAATTTCACTCTCTGCCCAACTTCCTAAACTTCCTCTTTCACTAAATCTACTCTTCACTCTACAATTCCTTGACCCATCTCTATGCTCTTAGTCCATCCTCCCCAGTAGACTTTGTTTTTAAACCACCCTTGATGTCATGAACTTACCATTTTAGTTGTTCGTGAGCTGCTAGCTTAGAATCCCTTGCTCCCCTGATCTTCCACTGTTGCTGACTGGTGAATCCTCATCACAGGTCATTTAGGAATAGTCCTGGTGATACCTTTTCTTCAAGCTGCCAGGACAACAAGTGTACAACTCTAATTGGGCTCAGCCTCTGACATAAAGGCACCTCCTCTCCAGTATGACTGTTGTGTCTATGTTAAGAATGTGATCTTTCTCTCCCTATCCATTTCCTGGAGGTGAGTAGACCCTGTACGATAACTAACTGTTCATTCCCAGAAGGACAAAATATCTTTTAGAATTTAGAATGCAAGGGCCATTTACCATTCAGGTAAATAAGGTAATTCAAGCAAGTGGAGAATGAAAAGTATGCTGTAGGAAATGACTCTCAGGGAAAATGAACTAACTTCCTTTAAACTCTTTTAACTAATTATCTGTTATTTTGATTTTGGACTGTAAGTTTGGGTAACTGACAGGAATTTATACTGTTTACATCAATCCAAGTGAAAACAGGAAAATGAATACCTGGCAATAATTTTAAAAAATCAACAGATGGAATACATGTTTTCATTTCAATTATAAGACATGAGGGATGGTGGGTTTTTTTCTCTAATTTACAACATTAATTCTTTTTTAAAAGTCATTGACTGTCAGATATATTAATTTTTGGTAATCAGTATTTTTATATGCAAGGTGCCACTGGGTTTGCCAACAAAATTTTCTCTTCCCACTCCACTGTTCTAACAGAATATCACAGAGAAAATGACAAAAACCGAAGTGTTCTTAAATAACCAGATAACAAACTAGATAATATTTTCCATATTTATTCAGGTAATTTAATAAATTACTAATCACTGCTGAATTTCAATTCACACTTTTAAATTATCTTCTATTACCATTAAGAATAAGTGTTATCAGAAATTTTCACTATGAACAGTCAAGATTATAAACCCCTTTGGGGCAAGACCCATGCCTTACGCTTCTTAATATAATGCTAGCTGACATTTAAATAGCACTTTAGGGTTTGCAAAGCACTTTATGTATATTATTCATTGGACTTAGAACAACCCTGTTAGATAGTTAAAGCCAGTTTTCATAGCTCCATTTTGTAGATGAGGAAAATGAGGCTCAGTGGTTAAGTGATTTGCCTGTAGACAGCTACTGTCAGAGGAAGGATTGGAAGCCAGTTCTTCCTAGTTCTCAATCCAGCATTCTATCCACTATACTACACTGCCTCATTCTCCTACAGAGCCTAATAGGTGCCTTATACAAGTTTGCTGATTAATAGATATTTCTTTGATTGATTGAAACTCAGAACAACTGGAGAAGCTGGTTCTTCTTCCCCAATTTCTTCCTCTACCACGGGGAAGCTTTCCTATTTATGAAAAAGAATTTGATTCATTGAATAGATACACATGTGAATACTTACTGTGTACAAGGCACAATTTTGGCTTTGTGAGAGCTACAAAAACATATAGGACATGCTCCCCACTGTCCAGAATCTGTTGAGCAAATGGAACAGAATTCCAAGCCCTCATGTTTTCTACCTGTGTGTCTCCTTTTTTGGAGGTGGCAGGAGTTATATATTGTTTTAAATGGCCAACTTTTTCAAAGCCAAGTAGGAATATTTGGGGATTTGATCTAATATACTTGGAAATGTAGATAGTTCAGTAATGATCTTTATAGAATTCTTGAGCTGGATGGAACATTCCTCTGCCTCTAGGCCAGATCATACCTAAACATTCCAGAACAAGTGAGTAACTATTCTCTTAAAGAAGACCTCCAGGAAATGAGATCAGTTTTCCTAATTAACCTATTCTAGTGTCTCAGTAGTCTTACCAGTTTTTCCTCTGTCAGCAATTCAAGTTTAGTAGATGTTCTTAAGTGAAGAAATCATTACTTATGATATGAGGCAATTTTTCAAATGGTGGTTTCTTTTGAAAAGCAATGTCATTTTCATTAAGTGATTTTTTTTCTTTGCATCCTATGGTACCTGGGACACAGTAGGCATAAATGCTCATGGATTGATTGTCTCTCGTTCCAGTGCAAAGCTAACTATATCCTGACTTTTTCTCTTGTTCCCCTATATTGCCTTAACTGGTTTTATCTTGAAGTAAAAAGACTATTGTAGCCAATTAGGGATAAAACTAAATAATTGTAATTGCGTCTGATACAGTAGCTAGACTTCAAAATGTTTATTATTTTGTCTTTCTGTGTTCTCAAACATGCAGGGTAAGGAAGGAAACAAAATCCCCATCTAGGCTTGATCTTAACTCTGAATTTGATTTCATATCTGAGACCTGTGTTCTTTGGTGACCCAGTGTTTCCTAACATTGGCTTCCTAGTCTGTTCCATGTTAAGAGTCTTGGGGAGCTGAGCATATAGTTAGGCAATGCTTCTTTACTTGTTTTCAGTGATGACACTTCTGTCATCTCATATCAGCAAAACCTTCATAGCCCCAAGTTTTAAGCTGTCGTCATTTGTACCTGCATCCAGCAATGCTGTCACCGTGCAGTAGTAACATTTATGTACCTGGGCAGTAGTAAAACTTCTTAGACTACAGAAGGTATCACTGTTATAATCTATGGGTGGGGTATTCTGTTCCTTTGGCAACAAACATAATAAAAATTTTAACAACCATAAGATTCATTCTTGGCAATGTTCTTTGGGGTGATTTAATATACTGTAATCAAGGGAAACTGTTCTGCTCTTTAATTAAACCTTGCTATGGCATATAGACCAAGGAGATACTTGTGGAAAACATTTGGCCAGATTTATAGTATCTTTGTAACTGAAAGGTTGCTTTTATCCTCTTGAACACTCTTTGCATGTTTGGTTTTGCCAGGTTTTGGCTGTAATTTTGCCAGGATGTTCAGTTGCTTAGGCTGTGTATATTTTGTGTAAAATGATCACAACAGGGAGAGATGGCATGCTTTGGATTCCAGAACAGCTATGCAAGCTTGCAATTGAAAGCATGTTTCCAGTTTGTCAGGGCTTCGTGATAGACCTGGTGACACACTAGCCTTTTCACAGACCTCCTCCTTGTGTGTGTGAGGGCAGGAAGTGTGGCTTCAAATCTGCTGTGGGGGAAATCTGAGCCACTTCTCTGTAAGCAGCGGTGTTTCAAAGCCTGGATGAATCGTTTTTTTTAATTTTTCATAGGCTGCCAGGGTGAGTTTTGTTTTGATTAAAAAAAAAACCCACATACTTACAGACTTCTTTCTTACCCTTCTTTCTCTTCAGTTAATGTGGTACCCTCTGAGTGTTCCAAAGAACACATTCTATGTTATCTAAAATAGGGTTCTGGGGCTGTTCTAATAAGACATGAACTAACTGGACTCTTTTCTCTTTGCAGATTTTGTGGAGGTATATTACTTTGTCATTATGAGATGTCGTCTCTCGGTGCTTCCTTTGTGCAAATCAAATTTGATGACTTGCAGTTTTTTGAAAACTGCGGCGGAGGGAGTTTTGGAAGTGTTTATCGAGCCAGATGGATATCACAAGACAAGGAAGTGGCTGTAAAGAAGCTGCTCAAGATAGAGAAAGAGGTAAGACTTTTGCTTAACTCTTTTTTTTCTTCTTTTACAATCAGAACTGGCTTTGATGACACTTCTGTAAGCTTCTCCTATCAGAGGGGACATGAAGTAGTGTGTGGGGCTGATCCATGGAACTTTCCTCTTCTCATCCTGGGAGCCCCATAAATAGAAATTATTACAGTGAGTGTGCTTTGAGGTTGCATTCTGCTAGGGGTCATCTCAACTGAAAGGATTTCTTTCCATGTTATAAAAGACTTCATGTTCCCTGGCCCTTACAGGGAGCAAGGTGAGATTCAAATCCTTCTTGGAAGCAAGGTTTTCACTCTGCTGGCTAGATGGGGGAGTCACTGGAGAGCAGTACTTGAAGTTCATATTCCCCTTTACCCATTTCCCTCTTTGGGTACTATGAGACTTTTATACAATTTGCAGCAGCCTTAGAATGTTGGTCATATTTAATCAGATTTGGAAGTTATATTTTGTCCTAAGACTGAAATCTCTGGCTTAGTTGCATCCCCTTTACTAGCACCTGTCATCACTTTATTCTGCTACCAACCAACACAGAAATCCTACCCTTGAATTAGGTCAAAGACAAGGATCTCTCCTGGAAGGAAACTGAAATGCATCTGAGCAGTCTGAGGCTTTATCTTATCCATCTTAGTAATTTAATGCAGCATCTTTTAAAGTTCAGATTTACGTTGGAGACACTATTCAGATTTGGCCTTTCATGTACAAAGTTATAGTTGTAAAGCTGGACCTTATGTGCAATGCTCCATGTACAAACCCAATTTCTACCAACTTCTAACAAACTCCTTTTTTCTCTCAGACTCCCACGGTTCCTCCCCATGATAGGGGATCTCAAAACTATGCCAGTCCCATATTTACATTGGCCAAAACATGGTCATCCCAGTTCCCAAAATGCTTCTATCTCTCCATGAAAAGGCACTAAAACTCAGAGCCATAGCCAGCCTCAGGACTTGAAACACCAGAAAAACATGCCAGCCTTCATAAGTCTCAATATTCATTCTATGCTCCCATAAATCAATGTGCAATCCCCAAGGTGCTTACTATGAGGAAACACATCTTCATTCTACTCATATATCTAATCGCTTTGCCTCACAGAGGCACACTGACTCAGTTACTTTCTCTCTCGCTAACTACCATTTTACTTCAGTCATTCAATTACTGTACCACAATCCCCTACAAACACACCCAAGGGCTGGTTCTCACTCCTAGGCCAAAGCATGATCACCAAGGTCGACAATCTTGATGCTCTTTTATAGGCCAGGGAGTAATAACCAATTATGGGAAGCTGTGCAGTTCTTTTGCCTTTTACACACAGCTATTTGCCTTTCAAGTTGGGGCTTCCCCAGAGCCTAGCACCTTTCTGTGCTAACTCTCTTCACTTAGAACATATTAATAGCTTGATTTTGGTGATTCCTAGTCACATCACTTATTAGATGCTAGTGCAATTAAATCATTTTGGCTAAGTATTATTGTTGCAGATATCTTTAAATATCTTTATATGTTTCCAGAAATAACTTTTCCATCTCCATGACTGATATAATTTTTTCCCATTAATTACTGCCAGTAGCCATAACAATTGATTAGGGAAAACAACCTAAAGAGCAGCACCATAAGGAGTTTCTTCCCAGTTGTGCTGTGTGATTACCAACTGTGCTTCCACTGGGTGAAGCCAGGTCAGAAGGGCTAGGTCACTAGGATAACTCTCCCTTAGGGTATCTGTAGGATTTCTAAAGCACTTAAGACATGGGAATTCTTAAAACCAGTGTATACCTAAAACAGGAGAGCAGTGTGAAGCAAAATTATAGGGTTTGACTCTTTCTTTCCTTCTAGATCAAAAAAAAAAAATTTGAATGCTAGCCAAGTAATAAAACAGTCTTTTACTCTATACTGCACCTAGGGCCTTTCATCTGATCAACTCAAAGAGCTTTATAGGGATTAAGTACCGGACCTGTCATTTCATTGATATTTGGAAGTCTTGAATGAGGGAACTCACTCTATCAATGCAGGGTAGAACCTTCTCTGCAAATTACAGGCTCAGAGCAAGGTTTTTAACTTGGGAACCCCTAAGTCCTTGGATAGATTTCAGGGAGTCCATGAATTTGGATGGGGAAAATTTACATTTTTATTTTCACTAATCTCTAGGTGGCACAGTGGATAGAGAGCTGGGCCCAAAGTCAGGAAGATTCATCTTCTTGAGTTCGTATCTGGCCTCTGACACTAGCTATGTGATGATGAACAAGTCACTTAACCCTGTTTGCCTCAGTTTCCTTATCTGTCAAATGAGTTGGAGAAGGAAATGGTAAACCATTCCAGTATATCTGCCGAGAAAACCCCATATGGGGTCACAGAGAGTTGAACACGACTGAGAAAATTACTTAATCACAAAATCTCTTAATGAAATTTAGCATTTCCTTTAATTATTTCAAAATATTAGTCAGAGGAGGGGTCCATAGGTTTCACTATCTTACCAAAAGGATCCATAACATACAAAAAAGGTTAAAGCCCCCTGACTTAGAGAGTTGCCTAAAAGATTAAGTGACTTGCCCAGGGCTACACTGCCAGTGTATGTCAAAAGCTGCAAAGTTCTTTATAGACAATTTATGCCCATTTTTTAGATCAGGAAATTTAGCTCAGATCCTACTTCATGTTGAAGATCAAGCTAGTGATGACGAAAGGAATGGAAACAAACTTCAGAGTTTCTGTCCTTTGACTTTACTTTCCTACTCAATAAACTCCTACTCAAATATCACTTCCAGGATCAAATATAAAACCTGGTTGGCAAACCTTCTCTACTTCAAAATCTCTCTCTACTCCAGACTTTCCATTCTTTTTTACGTATTATGTCCCTTCAGCTGCTCCTTCCTCCCTCACCAGACAGTGGCCTCCTTGATATTCCTCAAAGTAGTCCATCTCCCAACATTTTCACTGGCTGACCCTTATGCATGGAATTCTCCCATTCCTCACCTTCACCTCCTGGCTTCCCTGGCTTTCTTCAAGTCCCGACTAAAATCTTACCTTCTACAGGAAACTGTTCTTTATCCCTCTTTGTTAATTATTACCAATTTATCTTACGTAGATCTTGTTTGTACATGATTGCATGTTGTCTCCCATGTCAGATTATGAGATCCTTGAAGGCAGAGAGTATCTTTTGCCTTTATTTGTATCCTAGCACTTAGCATAGTAGGCTCTTAAGAAATGTTGGTTGACCAACTGACTTTTAACACAAGAACTGTATTTTAAAATAAAATCAACCAAATGCAGTCAGTTTTCATCAAATATTTATTCAGAGAGGCATATGTGTGTTAATGTTGTCAGCATATGTTATGCAACTTCATTAAGGAGGCAACATGGTATAGCAGATATTGACTTGGAGTCAGGAAAACCTGGGTTCAAATTCTACCAATTAAGATCCTCATGGTGTAATCTCAGATGAGTCAAATTATCTTCTCAGTGCCTCAGCTTCTTCATCCATAAAATGAGGAGGTTTGAGTTAGATTCCTCTAAGGGTCCTTCCAGGTCCAATCTGTTATCCTATTACACATTTTATATAACTGTGGGAAGGGCTTTATGAGATATGAAACAATTTTTGGTATAACAGCATTAAATGCCACATCCAAATTCATATATTAACACAAATTCATTATTATTGTGGGTATGGCATGTGTGTTTAAAGGTAGATAAGCACATGGATAAATAGAAACATCGCAGAAAGATACTGTGTATTATTTTGACTTAAATGCCCAAACTTGGCTATTTCAGAAGTTAATTCCAGTGATACTTCAAATACTTGAAAGCACCCAGTTGTATGGGAAAAATTTAATTTCCTCTTTGGTATACAATTCAGAATTTTTTTATTGTTATTGAAAGAGTATTAACTTCTTCCCTGAGTTCTTAATCTTTTTGTGTGCCATGGACCCTTTTGAAGTCTAAAGACCTCTTCTCAGAATAAAGTTTTTAAATTCACAAAAGAAAAACACAAAGGATTATGAGGGAAACCAATTATATTGAAATACAGTTTTATATATATATATGTATACATATGTATATATATGTATATATTTGAAAAAGCAAGTTAATAGGCCAGATATTAAGGACTCATACCCTAAAATTACCTATATCTATTTTCTATTGACCTATATATTTATATTTATATTCATAAGGGCTGCTAGGTGGTACAGTGGGTAGAGTGCCAGACCTGAAGTCAAAAAGACTCATCTTTCTGAGTTCAATTCTGGCCTCAGACATTTATTGTGATCCTGGGTAAGTCATTTAACCCTGTTTACCTCAATTTCTTCATCTATAAAATAAGCTGGAGAAGAGAATGGAAAACCACTCTAGTATCTCTGCCAAGAAAACCCCAAATGGGGTCACGAAGAGTCAGACATGACTGAAAATAACTGAACAACAAATATATCTGTATATTATGTTCCTTATTGGAACATAAACTCCTTTAGGGCAGGGAATATTTTACTATTCTCTTTATATCCCTAAAACTGAGCATAGTACCTGGCACATAATATGTATTTAATAAATGCTTATTGATTGATTGTAAATTATATCGAAGGAGTCAACATTTACTGAATTAATGGGAGTTGAATAGCATTTAAGATAGTCAGCATTAATTATTGGAAAGGAAAAATATATTTACTTTATAAATTATCAATATACTACATAGCACATGTTCATATTAGCTGTTAGAATATTGTTAAGGTAGCTAGGGGCTGCAGTGGATAGAGGAACTTGGTGTCCCAAGTTTGACTGCGATGCTTACCAGCTCTGTGGCCTATCAGAGGCAAAGTAGGCAAAGCAGTCCTACTTACCCTCTCAGCTACATCTGTAAAATGGGGATAATCATAGCACCTTCCTCACAGGGTTGTTGTGAGGAACAAAGGTGATAACACGTAAAATGCTTTATAAAACCTTAAAGTGCCATATAAATACCATCTGTTGCTATTTGTACTGTTATATATATATATTCTGATAATAAT